CCTTGACATTTGCTTTTACCAGGATTGTTCTGCAGGGTCTTCAAAGCTGAGTTAGCAATTCAAAGCCATTTTGTAGTCTCTGAAATATTCACATCGTTTTGTTCCCGGACACAAATCTCTTCCCTAGGAAACTACTCCTTCCCTTCTGAACTGTGCTCACACAATATCCCTGCACAGTCTTGGACCTGAGGGGGTGGTTTCTTCCAGTAGCAGCATGGATCCCACACACGGATCCCAACATCCCACCCGGGCCGTCTCGCTCCAGCGTAGGTTTTCTTCAGGGTCACAAATCTTCAACAGGACTCTGCCTCACTTCAGGTCTCTCATTAAGTCTCGGCTTCCTCATGCATCAACTTATTCCAGTGTAGACTCTTCCACGAGCAGCGTGGGGGTCTCCTCACTCCAACAATCTTCCAGAGGTAGCAAGGATTTATTTTTCAGTCTTTTCCCTGCTGAAGGGAGAGAGCAAAAGGGAGGGAGAAACAGCCCCCCCTTCGAACTTCTCTCTCCTCCGGCTGCCAGCTTTGACCTTGAACACTTGGTTATCTCTCTGCCGGAATTCTTCTGCAGTGCTTTTCATCCAGGCAGTCAGTCCTCTAAAGTTTTTTTTCCTTTACCCTCTTACATGAAAGAAGGGAGAGCTTCAATGCCACACCTGCCCCCGGCCCAGGGCCAGGGGAGGAGAGAGGCCTGGCCCCCACCTGGGGCCTGCTGCTGCTCCTACAGGGCTACCAATTTCATCTGCTCCTAATTTCAACTGCTCCTAATTTCCACTGCGCCACAGCCTTCTCTTCCATTCTCTTAAATACGTAATTAGCAAAAGCGTTACTGAACTTTTTGATTGGCTTTTTCTCTGGAAATCCACCTGGACAAAACCACCTTCAGCCCCAGGGGCTGGCTGGTGGGCAAAACCATGACAATATCTTTTTCGGGAATTGCAGTGATGGGATTGATAAAATGAACAACTCTAGACAGCAAGAACCTCACTTGTTTACCCAAACTGTAACTTGTGAGGAAACCTGATGTTTCTAACCCTTCAATTTTGTGCCAAACTCGTTTTACAGCCCAACATCCCGGAATAATTTATTGGAAGTGAACTGTTCCTCCTTTGGCGGATTTCTCGGCTCACGGGGCACAGGCACGCAGTTCCACGGGGGGTTCTCGGCGCTGGCTGCAGGAGCGGGGCTTTTACGGGCGGCTGGGTTGTCTTGGTGCTGCTTCTGTTTCAGTCCCGGGATGGGCTGGCTCGGTCCAGCGCGCTGTGGCGGCGTCGCAGCGGGACGAAGGATGCTGCTTTCGCGGAGTTGTTCGGGGGAGGGAAGCCGTTGGCCGGGAATTTCGCCGTAGCTGATTTTAACCGGTTTGACTCTGTCTTTGCCAATTCCGGCGTGGTCTGAGTTCCTTTGCTGGAATGGAACTATTTTTTAAATGACTTGCCGATGGAACTTTAGTATGTTTAACAGTTTCAGGGTCTCAGGGGAAAGGACGCTGCTAGAGCTGCTCCTACCTTCCGGCGAAGTTGGGTTGACGGTGTCCAACTGACACCGGGACGATGAACTTTAGGCGTTCGCCCGACGCAGAATATCCCAAACCTTCTGCGCTGAAGGTGTCTCCTCTTCAAGGAGGTCAACCATGACCAACCGTTGGGCGCCATGTGACGAACATTGATGGTGGACAGGGAGGGGAACTCCAAGCAAGAGGTTTTCCTTTACCTCTAGTCCTGGAGGGGGACCATTCCATGCTCCAGCCCATTTCAGCCCTTCCCACAAAAAACATTTAGGGAAAAGCTCGGCTGGCAGCAGCTCTGCTGGTTCTGGAATGTTCTTTCAGCTCTTCATCCAAGAGAAATCCCCCTGCAAACCCCCACAGGACAAAATAATGTGGCTGGAGACACTTCCCGGTGAGAGTAGAGAGGGAACAAATTCCTTCCAAAGCTTTGCAGCAGCTCTTGTACCTGGACTGCCCTAAAACCCCTGGAAAGGCCCCACCCTCCTGTGCTTCCAGAGGCACTTCCTGGGCTAGGCACTCCTTCTAAAAGGTCTCACAGCCCCCATTCCTCTCTGCAGTGGGGCCTGTTGCACTCCAGCACCTGCTCTCCTGCTCTGGATCTGCAGCAGCTCGTGGTGCAGAGGAATGTTCATCCCAGGCAGGCACAGCTCCAGCAGACACCCCCCCACCACTCCAGGGAAGCTCTTCCGTGCCCAATCCTCCCTGGCTCCTCATTCCTGGAGCCCCCAGCACTGCTGCTGGCACAGCCTGCTTCCCTGGGACCACCTGGGAACAGGATTGCTGGGAATTCTGGGGCAGCTCAGAGCGTACCGTGTGCCACTGCCAGGGCTGGGATGAATCCAGGGCAGGAAATCCCAAACCCAGGAAAGAGATCCTCAGAGCACTCCAATAAATCCAGGAAGCAGATCCCAAACCCCTCTAATAAATCCATGACAGGAGATCCCACAATCCCTCCAAAAAACCCATGACAGGAGATCCCAAACCCATGGCAGGAGGTCCCCAAACCCATGAGAAGGATCCCAAACCCCTCTAATAAATCCAGGGCAGGACATCCCAAATCCTTCTAATAAATCCACGTCAGGAGATCCCAAAGCCGCTGCCATCTTTATCGGGGGCGTCGTGCAGGGCACACCAGGAGCAGGGGGAGCTCCTTCCCTGGACACACTCCATCCCCTCAGTGTCCTTTCTGCCCTCCCAGCACAGCCCTTCTCCCTTGGGATTGTCAATCCATCCCCTCAGATCCGTGACTTCTCACCCTGATCCGGCGTTCCCGCTGTGCCCTGGCTCACGTGTGAGCAGCCAGCAACCCTTATCTTGCCCTGCCTTTAACCCAGTGAAGTTTGATTTGTCCATAAATCCTTTTTGGGGATACCCAGCCCAAGGGAGGGAGTCTCTGGAAAGATCCCAGCACCACCAAGGTACTGATTAACTTCACCCACCCCTCACCTAAAGGGAGCCATGAGGAAAGTTCATCCCGCAGCAGGAAGGAGGGAAGGGCAGGACATTCCCTCTTCAGCAAAGAAGCAAATCCCCTCTTCACAAAAATATATAAATTAGCCCTTCTTGTGGGAAAATGCTGTTTGTTAAACTGGTCAACTTCACTATGACCACAAAACTCAAGTATTTTGTGTTCTGCCAAAAACCTGCTGTCGGCCACTTTTCCAGGAGTTTCTCCCCACAAAGAAATAATTCCAGGTGCTGGTAAAATGGAAGGGAAAAATTAAGGAAAAGATGAGGAAAACAATATATAATTAAATCTTGGTGGGTTGAAGGAGGGGAGAGAAGCTGTGTGCCTGAGGGACAGCCATGGCTCTAAAAACCCCGGGCTGTGCTATTTTCCCATCTTATTTCATCATCAGTTTGGGCATCGATGACATCAAAAGCAATGGGGTGAGGCTGAAAAATCGTGCTTGTGCTGATGCTGCTGGTTGGCCCAGTCAGGCCTGAGCCCTGGGCTCTGTCCTGGGTCTCTGGTGGTTATTGGAACACCATCAGGTCTGTTCTAGGCCTGCTGGGGAGGAGTTTGACACCGGCTGTGGAACAGCTGTGTGAAGCCTGAACTTGGGCTTCACCTTCACAGACTTTCAAAAGAGAATAAAAGAAAAAAAAACTACCCGCAATTCAGAGTGGTGAATTATTTACTAAGGGATTATCTCGAGGGAAAGTGCCACACCCATCACTTCCCCTCAAAAGCGCCTTCCAGCCACAGCCTGCAGCAGAAGCCTCTCCTGCCACGGCCACGGGAACATGGCTCTGAGGTTCTGCCCTTCCTGCATTTTCCTCCTCCTCCTCCTCCTCCTCCTCCTGCCCGGCCCCTCGGCCGGGGGGAAGCTGCTGGTGGTGCCCATGGTGGGGAGCCACTGGCTGAGCATGAAGGAGGTGGTGGAGAAGCTGAGCCGGCGGGGCCACGAGGTGGTGGTGGTGATGCCGGAGGTGGCCTGGCAGATGGAGACCTCGCAGACCTACAAGGTGGTCACGTACCCGGTGACGCAGACGCTGGAGGAGCTGGACGGTTCCTTCCGTGACTATGTGGACACCCACCTGAAGGGCCTGCCCTTCCCCCTGAACGCCCTGGAAATGTACAGGAGCTCGGAGCACGTCTTCAGCACCTTCTTCGGCCAGTGCAAGGACCTTTTCCGCAGCCAGGAGATCCTGAGGGCGCTGAACCAGACCGGGTTCGATGCCGTGCTGACCGACCCCCTCTTCTTGTGTGGGGCCACTCTTGCCAACTACCTCTCCCTCCCCTTCATGTTCTTCATGAGGGGCTTCGGCTGCAACCTCCACTTCGATGCCCCCCAGTGCCCAAGTCCCCTGTCCTACGTCCCACGGCTGTTCACCTTCAACTCAGACCGCATGACCTTCCTGCAGAGGGTGGAGAACGCCCTGGTTTCCCTCCTGGAGCTCAAGTACTGCGATGGTTACTACGCAGAAGCGCTGAAGTTCTCCTCAGAAGTCCTGCAGAGGGACGTGACCATTAGGGACCTTGTGGACTCTGCTTCCATCTGGCTGCTGAGGTTCGACTTTGTCTTCGAGTATGTCAGGCCCGTGATGCCCAACATGGTCTTCGTTGGAGGAATAAACTGTGCAAAGAAGAAACCCCTGAATAAGGTAAGGCTCCTTCTCTTTCCCGCATTTTCCCAAGGAAAATTCACTACACTGCTGCTGGGAAATTGATGGCTATTGGTTATTTTTAATTTTCGGGAATGATTTAAAACCACCAGCTATGGGCAGCTGTTTTCCACTGGCTGAAATCAAACCACCCTGTAGAGAGATCTCCTTGAATTAATGAGGATTTTCTCACAAAAACAGGGATTTCATCTGCCAGCTACTGTCCTCAGTGAATGTGTATTATTCGCCAAGCTGATCCAGTCTGGATTTAATTTTAATGGAATTTGACATATATTTCTTTAATCTGACCGAAACCCCAGAGGCCACGCTCTGGGACTCATATTTTGGTTTTAAGTCCAGGCACTGCAACGTCAGTTAATTCGCTCTGGTTGTACTTTCCTACCATTCAGTTCCCAAATTGTCTGTCCGTGTTAAGTTGTTCCTGTTTGGGGTGGTGGAACATAAACATCAGATTGAAATGGGAGGAAATAACCCTCAAGAGTGTATTTGGTGAATGCAAACCCCAGGTTTTCACACCTATCCCTTGACATTTGCTTTTACCAGGATTGTTCTGCAGGGTCTTCAAAGCTGAGTTAGCAATTCAAAGCCATTTTGTAGTCTCTGAAATATTCACATCATTTTGTTCCCGGACACAAATCTCTTCCCTAGGAAACTACTCCTTCCCTTCTGAACTGTGCTCACACAATATCCCTGCACAGTCTTGGACCTGAAGGGGTGGTTTCTTCCAGTAGCAGCATGGATCCCACACACGGATCCCAACATCCCACCCGGGCCGTCTCGCTCCAGTGTAGGTTTTCTTCAGGGTCACAAATCTTCAGCAGGACTCTGCCTCACTTCAGGTCTCTCATTAAGTCTCGGCTTCCTCATGCATCAACTTACTCCAGTGTAGACTCTTCCACGAGCAGCGTGGGAGTCTCCCCACTCCAACAATCTTCCAGAGGTAGCAGGGATTTATTTTTCAGTCTTTTCCCTGCTGAAGGGAGAGAGCAAAAGGGAGGGAGAAACAGCCCCCCCTTCGAACTTCTCTCTCCTCTGGCTGCCAGCTTTGACCTTGAACACTTGGTTATCTCTCTGCCGGAATTCTTCTGCAGTGCTTTTTATCCAGGCAGTCAGTCCTCTAAAGTTTTTTTTCCTTTACCCTCTTACATGAGAGAAGGGGGAGCATCAGTGCTCCCCCAGGGCGGGGGGAGGAGAGAGGCCTGGCCCCCACCTGGGGCCTGCTGCTGCTCCTACAGGGCTACCAATTTCAACTGCTCCTAATTTCAACTGCTCCTAATTTCAACTGCTCCTAATTTCAACTGCTCCCAATTTCAACTGCGCCACAGCCTTCTCTTCCATTCTCTTAAATACATAATTAGCAAAAGCGTTACTGAACTTTTTGATTGGCTTTTTCTCCGGAAATCCACCTGGATAAAACCACCTTCAGCCCCAGGGGCTGGCTGGTGGGCAAAACCATGACAATATCTTTTTCGGGAATTGCAGTGATGGGATTGATAAAATGAACAACTCTAGACAGCAAGAACCTCACTTGTTTACCCAAACTGTAACTTGTAAGGAAACCTGATGTTTCTAACCCTTCAATTTTGTGCCAAACTCGTTTTACAGCCCAACATCCCGGAATAATTTATTGGAAGTGAACTGTTCCTCCTTTGGCGGTTTTCTCGGCTCACGGGGCAGAGGCACGCAGTTCCACGGGGGGTTCTCGGCGCTGGCTGCAGGAGAGGGGCTTTTACGGGCGGCTGGGTTGTCTTGGTGCTGCTTCTGTTTCAGTCCCGGGATGGGCTGGCTCGGTCCAGCACGCTGTGGCGGCGTCGCGGCGGGACGAAGGATGCTGCTTTCGCGGAGTTGTTCGGGGGAGGGAAGCCGTTGGCCGGGAATTTCGCCGTAGCTGATTTTAACCGGTTTGACTCTGTCTTTGCCAATTCCGGCGTGGTCTGAGTTCCTTTGTTGGAATGGAACTGTTTTTTAAATGACTTGCCAATGGAAATTTAGTATGTTTAACAGTTTCAGGGTCTCAGGGGAAAGGACGCTGCTAAAGCTGCTCCTACCTTCCGGCGAAGTTGGGTTGACGGTGTCCAACTGACACCGGGACGATGAACTTTAGGCGTTCGCCCGATGCAGAATATCCCAAACCTTCTGCGCTGAAGGTGTCTCCTCTTCAAGGAGGTCAACCATGACCAACCTTTGGGCGCCATGTGACGAACATTGATGGTGGACAGGGAGGGGAACTCCAAGCAAGAGGTTTTCCTTTACCTCTAGTCCTGGAGGGGGACCATTCCATGCTCCAGCCCATTTCAGCCCTTCCCACAAAAAACATTTAGGGAAAAGCTCGGCTGGCAGCGGCTCTGCTGGTTCTGGAATGTTCTTTCAGCTCTTCATCCAAGAGAAATCCCCCTGCAAACCCCCACAGGACAAAATAATGTGGCTGGAGACACTTCCCGGTGAGAGCAGAGAGGGAACAAATTCCTTCCAAAGCTTTGCAGCAGCTCTTGTACCTGCACTGCCCTAAAACCTCTGGAAAGGCCCCACCCTCCTGTGCTTCCAGAGGCATTTCCTAGGCTAGGCACTCCTTCTAAAAGGTCTCACAGCCCCCATTCCTCTCTGCAGTGGGGCCTGTTGCACTCCAGCACCTGCTCTCCTGCTCTGGATCTGCAGCAGCTCGCGGTGCAGAGGAATGTTCATCCCAGGCAGGCACAGCTCCAGCAGACACCCCCCCACCACTCCAGGGAAGCTCTTCCGTGCCCAATCCTCCCTGGCTCCTCATTCCTGGAGCCCCCAGCACTGCTGCTGGCACAGCCTGCTTCCCTGGGACCACCTGGGAACAGGATTGCTGGGAATTCTGGGGCAGCTCAGAGCGTACCATGTGCCACTGCCAGGGCTGGGATGAATCCAGGGCAGGAAATCCCAAACCCAGGAAAGGGATCCTCAGAGCACTCCAATAAATCCAGGAAGCAGATCCCAAACCCCTCTAATAAATCCATGACAGGAGATCCCACAATCCCTCCAATAAACCCATGACAGGAGATCCCAAACCCATGGCAGGAGGTCCCCAAACCCATGAGAAGGATCCCAAACCCCTCTAATAAATCCAGGGCAGGAGATCCCAAATCCTTCTAATAAATCCACGTCAGGAGATCCCAAAGCCGCTGCCATCTTTATCGGGGGCGTCGTGCAGGGCACACCAGGAGCAGGGGGAGCTCCTTCCCTGGACACACTCCATCCCCTCAGTGTCCTTTCCGCCCTCCCAGCACAGCCCTTCTCCCTTGGGATTGTCAATCCATCCCCTCAGATCCGTGACTTCTCACCCTGATCCGGCGTTCCCGCTGTGCCCTGGCTCACGTGTGAGCAGCCAGCGACCCTTATCTCGCCCTGCCTTGAACCCAGTGAAGTTTGATTTGTTCATAAATCCTTTTTGGGGATACCCAGCCCAAGGGAGGGAGTCTCTGGAAAGATCCCAGCACCACCAAGGTACTGATTAACTTTACCCATCCCTCACCTAAAGGGAGCCATGAGGAAAGTTCATCCCGCAGCAGGAAGGAGGGAAGGGCAGGACATTCCCTCTTCAGCAAAGAAGCAAATCCCCTCTTCACAAAAATATATAAATTAGCCCTTCTTGTGGGAAAATGCTGTTTGTTAAACTGGTACTCTTCACTATGACCACAAAACTCAAGTATTTTGTGTTCTGCCAAAGACCTGCTGTCGGCCACTTTTCCAGGAGTTTCTCCCCACAAAGAAATAATTCCAGGTGCTGGTAAAATGGAAGGGAAAAATTAGGGAAAAGATGAGGAAAAGATGAGGAAAACAATATATAATTAAATCTTGGTGGGATGAAGGAGGGGAGAGAAGCTGTGTGCCTGAGGGACAGCCATGGCTCTAAAAACCCCGGGCTGTGCAATTTTCCCATCTTAGTCCATCATCAGTTTGGGCATCAGTGACATCAAAAGCAATGGGGTGAGGCTGAAAAATCGTGCTTGTGCTGATGCTGCTGGTTGGCCCAGTCAGGCCTGAGCCCTGGGCTCTGTCCTGGGTCTCTGGTGGTTGTTGGAACACCATCAGGTCTATTCTAGGCCTGCTGGGGAGGGGTTGGCAACCAGCTGTGGAACAGCTGTGTGAAGCCTGAACTTGGGCTTCACCTTCACAGACTTTCAAAAGAGAATAAAAGAAAAACAAACGACCCGCAATCCAAAGTGGTGAATTATTAACGAAGGGATTATCTCGAAGGAAAGTGCCACACCCATCACTTCCCCTCAAAAGCGCCTTCCAGCCACAGCCTGCAGCAGAAGCCTCTCCTGCCACGGCCACGGGAACATGGCTCTGAGGTTCTGCCCTTCCTGCATTTTCCTCCTCCTCCTCCTCCTCCTCCTGCCCGGCCCCTCGGCCGGGGGGAAGCTGCTGGTGGTGCCCATGGTGGGGAGCCACTGGCTGAGCATGAAGGAGGTGGTGGAGGAGCTGAGCCGGCGGGGCCACGAGGTGGTGGTGGTGATGCCGGAGGTGGCCTGGCAGATGGAGACCTCGCAGACCTACAAGGTGGTCACGTACCCGGTGACGCAGACGCTGGAGGAGCTGGACGGTTCCTTCCGTGACTATGTGGACACCCACCTGAAGGGCCTGCCCTTCCCCCTGAACGCCCTGGAAATGTACAGGAGCTCGGAGCACGTCTTCAGCACCTTCTTCGGCCAGTGCAAGGACCTGTTCCGCAGCCAGGAGACCCTGAGGGCACTGAACCAGACCGGGTTCGATGCCATGCTGACCGACCCCCTCTTCTTGTGTGGGGCCACTCTTGCCAACTACCTCTCCCTCCCCTTCATGTTCTTCATGAGGGGCTTCGGCTGCAACCTCCACTTCGATGCCCCCCAGTGCCCAAGTCCCCTGTCCTACGTCCCACGGCTGTTCACCTTCAACTCGGACCGCATGACCTTCCTGCAGAGGGTGGAGAACGCCCTGGTTTCCCTCCTGGAGCTCAAGTACTGCGATGGTTACTACGCAGAAGCGCTGAAGTTCTCCTCGGAAGTCCTGCAGAGGGACGTGACCATTAGGGACCTTGTGGACTCTGCTTCCATCTGGCTGCTGAGGTTCGACTTTGTCTTCGAGTATGTCAGGCCCGTGATGCCCAACATGGTCTTCGTTGGAGGAATAAACTGTGCAAAGAAGAAACCCCTGAATAAGGTAAGGCTCCTTCCCTTTCCCGCGTTTTCCCGAGGAAAATTCCCTAGGAAATTACTCCTTCCCTTCTGAACTGTGCTCACACAATATCCCTGCACAGTCTTGGACCTGAAGGGGTGGTTTCTTCCAGTAGCAGCATGGATCCCACACACGGATCCCAACATCCCACCCGGGCCGTCTCGCTCCAGCGTAGGTTTTCTTCAGGGTCACAAATCTTCAGCAGGACTCTGCCTCACTTCAGGTCTCTCATTAAGTCTCTGCTTCCTCATGCATCATCTTACTCCAGTGTAGACTCTTCCACGAGCAGCGTGGGAGTCTCCCCACTCCAACAATCTTCCAGAGGTAGCAAGGATTTATTTTTCAGTCTTTTCCCTGCTGAAGGGAGAGAGCAAAAGGGAGGGAGAAACAGCCCCCCCTTCGAACTTCTCTCTCCTCCGGCTGCCAGCTTTGACCTTGAACACTTGGTTCTCTCTGTGCCGGAATTCTTCTGCAGTGCTTTTCATCCAGGCAGTCAGTCCTCTAAAGTTTTTTTCCTTTACCCTCTTACATGAGAGAAGGGGGAGCATCAGTGCTCCCCGAGGGCCGGGGGAGGAGAGAGGCCTGGCCCCCACCTGGGGCCTGCTGCTGCTCCTACAGGGCTACCAATTTCAACTGCTCCTAATTTCAACTGCACCACAGCCTTCTCTTCCATTCTCTTAAATACATAATTAGCAAAAGCGTTACTGAACTTTTTGATTGGCTTTTTTTCCGGAAACCCACCTGGACAAACCCATCTTCAGCCCCAGGGCATCAGTGACATCAAAAGCAATGGGGTGAGGCTGAAAAATCGTGCTTGTGCTGATGCTGCTGGTTGGCCCAGTCAGGCCTGAGCCCTGGGTTCTCTCCTGGGTCTCTGGTGGTTGTTGGAACACCATCAGGTCTGTTCTAGGCCTGCTGGGGAGGAGTTTGACACCAGCTGTGGAACAGCTGTGTGAAGCCTGAACTTGGGCTTCACCTTCACAGATCTGCCCCTCAGCTGCCCCCTCTGCCCCTCACCCCCTGTGGAGATTCCTGCCTGTTCAGCCCTTGGAGGGTCACGGTTCGACTTTCAAAACAGAATTAAAAAAAAAAAAACCCACCCGCAATCGAAAGCAATGAATTATTAACGAAGGGATTATCTCGAAGCAAAGTGCAACACTCATCACTTCCCCTCAAAAGCGCCTTCCAGCCACAGCCTGCAGCAGAAGCCTTTCCATCAGTCATAGGAAGATGGCTCTGAGGTTCTGCCCTTCCTGCATTTTCCTCCTCCTCCTCCTCCTCCTGCCCGGCCCCTCGGCCGGGGGGAAGCTGCTGGTGGTGCCCATGGTGGGGAGCCACTGGCTGAGCATGCAGAAGGTGGTGGAGAAGCTGAGCCAGCGGGGCCACGAGGTCGTGGTGGTGGTGCCAGAGGTGGCCTGGCATTTGGAGACCTCACAGGCCTACAAGGTGGTCACGTACCCGGTGACGCAGACGCTAGAGGAGGTGGAGGACGTCTTCCACGACTACTTGGATGCCCACCTGAAGGGCCTGCCCTTCCCCCTGAACGCCCTGGCAGTGTACAGGAGCTCGGTGAAAATATACAACATCCTCTTGGGCCAGTGCAAGGACCTGTTCCACAGCCAGGAGACCCTGAGGGCGCTGAACCAGACCGGGTTCGATGCTGTGCTGACCGACCCCGCCTTCTTCTGCGGGGTGACGCTCGCCAACTACCTCTCCCTCCCCTTCGTGTTCTTCATGAGGGCCTTGGACTGCAACCT